GGTGGTGGTGGTGGTGGTGATGGTAGTGGTGAAGATGGTGGTGGTGGTGAAGATGATGATGGTGTTGGTGGTGATGGTGATAATGGTGGTGATGGTGGCGGTGGTGGCAGTGGCAGTGGCAGTGGTGATGGTGGTGGTGGTGTAGATGATGGTGGTGGTGGTGATGATGATGGTGGTAGTGGTGGTGGTGATGTTGGTGGTGGTGGAGGTGATGGTGGTGGTAGTGGTGATGATGGTGGTGGTGGTGAAGATGATGGTGGTGGTGGTGATGATGGATGATGATGGTGGTGGTGATAGTGGTAGTGGTGGTGGTGATGATGGTGGTGGTGCTTCTGATTGGTGGTGGTGGTGATGATGATGGTGGTGGTGGTGATGGTGGTGGTGGTGAAGATGGTAGTGGTGGTGATGATGGTGGTGGTGGTGGTGGTGGTGATGGTGGCAGTGTAAGAAAGTGAGATGAGAGCAGGGTTTATTTTTCTCTTTTATTCACTGCTGTATTCCAACACCTGACACAAAGTAGGCACTCAGTAAATATTTGTTCAATGAATGAAGTGGTGGTAGAAACAACAGGGATCGGATGTCAAAACTGATTGAGTTGGGGACAAGAAAATAGTCAATGAAGATGGAGATTTTGAGTCCAGTTGATGGGGGGGATATAGGGAGAAAAAGCAGTAGATAGGGAGAAAGGAAGATGGGGAAACCCAGGAGAAGGGGAAAAGGAGGAAAAATAACGACTAAGAGAGAAAAGATGTGCATAGTGTATCAAGGGCTCTCAGAGCAGTTCCTGGATCTAGTAGATGCTCAAGAGATAGCCACAGTATAAAAGAATGACTCAGAAATTGCCCAGGTATGCTGCTAGCTTCTCTGCCTATCAATTCCCTTGGCTCTGAGGTCCACTTCTAAGCAAACCTCTGCTAAAGACCCCATCATCTTCCCCTTCAACCTTAGTCCTTATTTTTGGTTAATGTCACCATTCCTCTCCCAGTGACCAGGACTCGAAATCTCAGTCATCTCTCTCTTCTCTTGTCCCCAAACCAATCAGTTACAACATCCTATCCCTGTTTCTACCACCAATTCATTTAGCTAATTGGAACTGCCTTGCTCAGAAATACCTGGGAGACTGCACTATACCCTTCTTTGTCCCCCCTCTTCCCACCGTGGTCTGTGACCATCACTTGACTGATGCTGGCGTCTAACAGCCTAGTCCCTTATCTCTGGGCAGAACACAGTGGTGCAATTTACCACCTGGCCTGGACCCTCCTTCTAGAAGCCTTCCCAGATTTCTCCAGCCACATGTGAATTCTGCTCAACTTTGAGAACTCCAAGAACTTTGGCAGGTCTCTCCTGTGAAACTGACCAGTCTCCATCTTATTAAATAAGTAGACATTTATTTAAGGAGCCCTGGTGGCTTAGTGGTTAAGCATTTGGCTGTGCTAACCAAAAGATCTGAGGTTCGAACCCACCAGCCGCTCTGCGGGAGAAAGATGTGGCAGTCTGCTTCCGTAAAGATTACAGCCTTGGAAACCCTATGGGGCAGTTCTCCTCTGCCCTATAGGGTCAATATAGGGTCACTATGAGTCAGAATTGACTCGATGGCAACGGGCTAGACATTTATTTGGCTTCTATCCTTGACTTCTATCTACTACTTGATTCTACGTACCTTCAGGGCAAGAACTTTAAAAATTCATCTTTGTTTTTCCTGCAGTGCTTACTAGAGTGTTGTGAACATGTTCAATACTCAAATATTTTTGAATAATGAATAAAGTAATAGGTGTAGAACTTATAACAGGGGAACGTTTTATGGTCCTGGATAAATCATAAATGAGGAGGTAGGGAAAAAATACTTCCCCAGTAAAACCCTTCCACTTTTGGAGACAAAGGAGCTGGAATTTGACTTCCAGTGTCTACTTAGTTAAAGATATGTTCTTGGAGATACAGCGTTAAGTTCAGATGTTAGAAAAACAGATCTTGGTAAGCCCTGAAGACCTGTTTGTTCTCCTGGAAACTGATCTCCAGTGTGGTCCAGATAGGAAAACCTAGGATAAATGCCAAATAGAACGTAGGAGAATTAGTGAGTAACATCCTGGCTGGTATAAGGTTGAAGCTCCAGAAAGATGTTTTCAATTTATAGCAGCTGTGGGTCTCTGATTTGAACATCCAGTCCACCACAAAGGGAAATTCAGCTTGGGTCTAAAGTGGCCTGAGACTTAAGCTTGCTTTAGACCAAGTAAAACGCTCTCGTTCAATTCCATCTGCAGCTTTTCATTAGGGATTTGTTTAGATCCAACTCTTTGTCCCAGCTTGCTAAGTGGCACACAGTTTAAGGTTAATGAGGATGAGTTGATCAGGGCAGAGGCCAAGAGCTGGAGAGCTCGGGCGTTGAGGCCGAGCCTCACAAGGAATGAAGGACGAATGGAGGCGGAGGGCAGGGTGAACTGCGCTGACAGTCTGAGGCTGGGCTCTGCTTGTTTGGGCCAGCACACATGCACCTCTGTTCCATCACTGCACACACCGCACTCTGGCTTAGAAATCAGAAACCCGGCAATCAAGGACAAACTACCCTATCATTTGGTGCTTCAAGGAACATACAACTTTACCATCAAGAACCATGCAGACTGCATAAAACATGGTACAGATTTTAGATATAAAAAATCATTGCAGTTTAAAACCTGGACATTTGACTGGGGCGATGGGGGTGCTGACAGACTCTTCAGCTTGCAAACGTTGCATAGTAAGCATTTTGCTCGAACCCTCTGCACTTACTCTTTTAACGTTCTGTTTGAAATTCTTTCATGCCTAAGGTATTATAGAGCCCACAAAAGCATGGGGAGAATGTGATTGGCTGGGTGTAGCGTGCTTCACTGCTCCGATTCAGCTCTGCAAACTAGCCCTTCCCGAAAGCCCAAGCTGGCCCTCATTTATCCACCAGAGACATGCCGGGGGTTACAAGTTTTATGGTAGCAGGGCTGAGGTTCGTGCTACTGTAAGAGAGATTCCAAATCATGGGTCCCACGTGGTTTTTGCCCCTTTCCACCTGACCAACTTCAAATCAAAATGTTATGTTGTGTCTAGAAAAAGAATCAAACCACCTTTAATCCCCGTCACCTGGTGGTTTCACTGATACAAGTCTAGGCCGAGAGTTACTGGTCCTTTCCAAAGCCACGGTAATGGATGAGGTGTTTCCTATGGCTGCCAAGTCATGAGCACCCTTTAATGCGTGTGCTCCCTACCCTCTGAAGTTGGTATTGTTTTCTCCGTGTTGCAGAGGAGGAAACCGAATGAGGTTACATACCTTGCTCAAGGTCACCTAGATCTGGTTCTCAAGACAATGCCCTGGATGATGACATTATAAATCAAATCAGTGTGAGGATCCATCCCTGCCTCTCTTAATCGACAAAGGCCCTGGTCCTGGATGGATGTTCCAACCTTCTTAACCTAGGTTGGCAATGATGATTTTCAAATATTTTTTCTGGTACTGGCATGCTCTTGTCATCTGATCTGCGACTCATCTGTGACTGCGGAAGGTTTTGCATACTATTGAGCGTGTGTAGCAGTATCAATGTCTTACATTGTTTCATGGACTTTACATATGATCAGGCTCTACCCTCGCCTGTGGTCTCTCCAGATATAGATATGATCAGGCTGTACCCTCGCCTGTGTTCTCTCCAGATATAGATATGATCAGGCTCTACCCTCACCTATGGTCTCTCCAGATACATTTGAACCAGCTAGAGAGGAGAAGGTTGGAGCAGGGATAGACCAACAAAAAGAAGGTAGCATTGTTACTCTTAAAATTAACAATTTAGTGCCTTACTGTTTATCATCCAATATGATCCACACCAGCACCTAAAGTATATGAGACACGTAGCCATGTTATCCTATTTGACAGATAAGAGACTGAGGTTCAGGCAAATGGCAGCTGGTGGGGGGACTCAGGGACAGTGAGACCAGATTCCTGCCCTGAAGGGAAGCACAGCCTGCTCAGTCAGCTAGCAGGAATGCAGATTGAATTCCTCTATTCTACAAGTGCGGTCACTACAGAAAGTCATATAAAAATCCAAACACAAAACTCTGTGCTCATCTCTGTCCTCTTCAATCCTCCTGAAATTATCAGACACCTCTCAGGAGTTCCTAACACATGGTCTAAGAAACAATGTCCATAGCCGATTATGGTTCCTTAGCCTGCAATTTATACAAAAGAATCAGAAAAAAATACAATTTTTGCATATATGTATGTGTCCCTTGAAACCATTTGGAAACTGGCACTATGGATTTAAAAAATTAGAGTAACAAAACTATAAGGTGAAAGGCTTACTTTTCTTGTTTGTGACTGAGGCCTGCTGGTTGGGTGATTCATAATTTAAAAATGTATTTCATTAGAAACCAGTTGGAAAAAAACTTTGAGGGGCTTGATTTTGTAAATAGAAAACCAATTGCCATCAAGTCGACCCCAACTTATGGTGACCCAATGTATGTTAGAGAAGAACTGTGCTCCATTGCGTTTTCAATGGCTGATTTTTTTTTTTTTAAATATTTTATTGTACTTCAGGTGAAGGCTTACAGAACAGATAGTTTCTCATATAACAGTAACACACATGCTGTTTTATTACATTGGTTAACAACCCCACAACATTTTAACCCTCTAAATTCTCAACTTTTTTTTTTTTTTCTTTTGTGAAAATGCACATAGCCAAAGATACGACAATGGCCGATTTTTTGAAGTAGATTATCAAGCCTTTCTTCTGAGGTGCCTCTAGGTAGACTCAACCCTCCAACCTTTTGGTTAGCAGCTGAGCAAGCGTGTTAACCATGCAGCGACCTCTTATAAGTAGAAGGACTTTATTGGCCTATTTTTGCCCATCTTGGTTTCTTTAGATTAAAAACAAAAACAAAACCCAAACAACCCAGCCATACTCATTAAAATAATAACACAGAAATAATTGACAAAGCAGGTCCCTCTTAAAATAAATCATGTCTAGGGTGATGGTGGAGTCCCTGGGTGTTGTAAACAGTTAACACACTCTGTTGCTTACCGAAAGGTTGAAGGTTCCTGTCCACTCAGAGGCACCTGAAAAGAAAGGCCTGGTGATCTACTTCCAAAAAAATCAACCACTGAAAACCAGTTCTACTTTTTTTTAAATAATATTTTATCGTGCTTTGGTGAAAGTTTACACAGCAAATTAAGTTCCCATTTAACATTTTTTATACATATTGCTCAGTGACATTGGTTACATTTTTCACAATGTGTCAACATTCCCATTATTTCTATTCTGGCTGTTCCATTTCCATTAATCTAGGTTTCCTGCCCCTCCCTCCTTACCTTCTCATCTTTGCTTTAGGGTAAAGGTTGACCATTTGGTCTCATATAGATGACTTTTTAAACGAGCACTGTACTCACGGGTAATATTGTTTATTTTATAAGCCTGTCTGTTATTTAGCTGAAGGGTGACCTCCAGGTGTGGTTTCAGTACAGCATTTAAAATGTATGTAAGGGTGACAATCTCAGAGGTTCCTCTAATCTAGTAAGTCTGGCCTTTTTTTAAAATTTGAGTTTTTCACACAAAAAAAAGACCAGATTTACTGGCCTGAAAGAGACTGGAGAAACCCTGAGAGTATGGCCCCCAGACACCCTTTTAGCTCAGTGGTGAAGTCACTTCTGAGGTTCACTGTTCAGCCGGGGATTGGACAGCCCCATAAAGCAAAATGGGACTAATGCGGCATAGCAGTCCAGGGACAAGGACTAGAAGGCAGAAGGGGACAGGAAAGCTGGTGATAGGGAACCCAAGTTTGAGTAAGGAGAGTGTTGACATGTAGTGGGGTTGTTAACCATTGTCATAGGGCAACATGTGTACTAACTGTTTAATGAGAAACTATTTTGTTCTGTAAACCTTCATCTAAAGTGCGAATAGCAGCACAACTGGAAGAACGTAATTGATGTCACTGAACTGTGCATGTAGAAATTTTTGAAATTGTGTATCTTTGGCTATGTATATTTTCACCAAAAAAAAAAAAAAAAAAAAGGTTGAGAAGGGAGAGGGTTGACATGTCGTGGGGTTGTTAACCAATGTCATAAAACTGTATGTGTACTGACTGTTTAATGAGAAACTATTTGTTCTGTAAACCTTCATCTAAAGTACAATAAAAAAAAAGTAAAAAAAAAATTGGAGTTTTTCAAGAAAAGGTGTAAACATAGAAGAAAACATTCTTTGATGGTTACGAGGGTGGGGAGGGAGGGAGAGGGGTATTCACTAACTAGATAGTAGACGAGAATTATCTTCGGTGAAGGGAAGGACAGCACACACTACAAGAAAAGTCAGCACAAATGGACTAAACCAAAGCTAAGAAGTTTCTGAATACAACCAAACACTTTGAGGGACAGAGTAGCAGGGGCGGGAATCTGGGGACCATGCTTTCAGGGGACATCTAGGTTAATTGGCATAACAAAGTTTATTAAGAAAATGTTCTGCATTCTACTTTGATGAGTGACGTCTGGGGTCTTAAAAGCTAGCGAGCAGCCATCTAAGATGCATCAATTGGTCCCAACCCACCTGGAGGAAAGGAGAATGCAGAACACCAAAGACACAAGGAAAGTATTAACCCAAGAGACAGAAAGGGCCACATAAACCAGAGACTGCATCAGCCTGAGACCAGAAGAACTAGATGGTGCCTGGCTACCACCAGTGACAGCCCTGACAGGGAACACAACAGAGTCCCTGATGGAGCAGGAGAAAAGTGGGGTGCAGAACTCAAATTCTAGTAAAAAGACCAGACTTAATGGTTTGATTGAGACTGGGGGGACCCTGGGAGGTGTGGCCCCCAGGCTTTCTGTTAGTCCAAAACTAAAACCATTCCCGAGGCCAACTCTTCAGACAAAGATTAGACTGGACTATGGGACATAGAATGATATTCTTGAAGAGTGTGCTTCTTAGCTCAAGTAGATACCTGAGACTAAATGGGCAGCTCCTGTCTGGAGGTGAGATGAGAAGGCAGAGAGGGGGAGGAGCTGGTTGAATGGACACAGGAAATCAGGGGTGGAAAGGAGGAGTGTGCTGTCACAGTACAGGGGAGCAACTAGGGTCACATAACAATGTGTGTGTAAATTTATGTATGAGAGACTAGAATTGTAAACTTTCACTTCAAGTACAAGAATAAAAAAAAATTTGAGTTTTGTTCTAGCACAGTTCTACTTTGACACATATGTGGTTGCCATGAGTCAGAATCGACTCTTTGGCAACTGGTTTAGGGTGATGGTGTCACACACATTTTAGATAGGAGGAGATCTCATGGGTCTCTTTTCCTGGCCTTTAAAATATACTTCATGTGTTGGGAACCCAGACCATGGGTGCTTTGTAGTTATGTCCCCTGGGGAGTCTGCTAGCAATCTGACAATAGCTCATGGTATCACAGATACAAAGCTAAGCCCCTGACATAGTACCCGAGGGCAGGGTGGGTCTGAGCTTTTGCAGAATTACCTTCACAGCCTCCCTTGCTGTTCCTTCTCCAGCCGTGGCAGCAGGCCAGTTTAGTTCCATAGTGACAGACCCCAGGCTGGCCTGCCCATGCCGACAGCCCGTGATTCCTTGGACTGGGGATAAGATAAAGAACCAGACGTTAGCATGGTGAAAACAGAAAGGGCAATAGAGACTCTTCCCTGCTGCTCAACGAACTGGAGAGATGACAGTTACCCAGTTAGTTTCAACGAACACTGTAAGTGCTAAATGAGATTTTGAAAGCCTGCATTTATGGGTTGCCAGTCTCTGCTACCATCCCTTGTCAGCCTTCCCCACTAACTGGTTTTGTCCATTTCCTTCTTCCCTTCCGAGGATTAAAAGAATGGGGTTATTTAATCTAGTTTTAGATTAAAAGCCAGTCTTAGAGGAAATACCACCAGAAGGCCCCTTAGAAACTAGGCTGGTGAGACTTCGGCTCGCTTACTTTGGACACGTCATCAGGAAAGACCAATTGCTAGTAAAGGACATCATGGTTGGTAAAGTGGAGGATCGGTGAAAACGAGGGAAACCCTCCATAAGATGAACTGACATAATAGCCTCAACAATGAACTCCAACATACCAATGATCATGAAGATGGCATACGACCAGGCAACATTTCATTTTGTTATACGTAAGGTCGCCATGAGTCAGAGCCAACTTGACAGCAACTAACAACAAGATTTAATCTATAAAAACTAGAGCACATGAAAACGGCCAAAAATTTATGCGTCTGAGTCTTCTAGAGTGCCAATTTTTAAGTCTATGCCATATACACGCAGTGGCTAGCCATTTCCACCCGTTTTAGGGCTGAGTGTGCTAACCCAATTGCCGGCACTTCCACCCCATTGGCCACCAGGGAACCATTGAACAAACTGGAATCTCCACACAATCAAGACTGTTCAGACCTGGAAGGGCCCAAGGGATCTCTTCAAGAAGCCTTCTCATGTTACCGGAGAGGAAACCCAAGCCCGATGGAGTCTCACATCCCCAGCAGAGCCACGTGTCAGGGATCCCAGCCCGGGGTTCATTCTCATTCCACACGGCTTCCTGGAAACATAGTTTGCTAAACTCTCTAACAGTAGAGCAGGAGTCGACAAATATTTTTTGTAAAGGGCCAGATGGTAAATGTTTTAGGCTTTGGAGGCCACACAGTGTCTGTCATAACTTCTCAACTCTGCCGTAGGCCAATGCAGCCATAGACAATATGGAAATGGTGGGCGTGGCTGTGTGCCAATAAGACTTTATTTAAGGATGCTGAAATGCGAATTTCAGGTACCTTTCATGTGTCACAAAATATTATTCTTCTTTGGATTTTTCATCAACCATTTAAAAATGTAAAACCATTCTTAGCTCACAGAACATATATAAGCAGCCGCTGGGCTCTATTTGGCCCATGGGCTATGGTTTGCCACCACTGATCTAGAGGCCTGAATGCTGAACCTTCCCCATCAAGTACCCTTAAGTGGGGAGGCCATGAGTGAAGATCCCTGCATACTACATGTCCTGGTTTTGGACAGGGTGCTCCCAGACTCTGGGAGAAAAGACTTACGCTGTTGTATATTTTATGGCGGGCTGTGACTGTGTCCTCATGCATATTAAATACACTGTAAAATGTTTCCTGGGCTTTTTAACAAAGAATGCACATTTTACCATGTGCTTTAGGTTGCAGGGCTGAATTGTATGCAAGTTAATAATATCTTAGTCAAGGTTGGGAAGTTAAACAGCCTTGCAGGTTTCCCTCGTGTTCAGCCTCTCCCATGAACTTGGTTATTCAGTTAAAAGCCACAAGGAATGGTCTGGGACATTTCATTAACTAAAGCACCAAATACAAGGATGATTTTATTATTTACTTTTTCTTGAAGGGGACAGTTTTTCTCACCCTTAATGGAATTAATTTGGGGGATTCCTCAGCCAGTCACTCAACCATTTAGAACAGGGTTTCTCAACCTTGACACTATTAGCCACTGTTGGGTTGGGGGCTGTCCTGTGCATTGTAGGATGTTAAAGCAGCATCCCTGGCCTCTACCCATTAGTAGCACTCCCCCCGCCCCCAAGTGGTGACAACCAAAAATGTTTCTGGATATTGCCAGATGTCCCCCAGGCTGCAAAATCCTCCCCAGCCCCATTGAGAACCACTGATTTAGAGTACTTTCTATTTTCCAAGCACTGCCTAAGACAGTGTACAGAGTACAGTGATGAAAAAGACCCAGTCTTTGTGCTCACGAGTTCACCGTCTATTATAAACAGATAGATTACAGTATAGGACAGCATGGGATGTGTCATGATAATGCTCTGAGAAGGAGTTTCGACGGAGAAAGAATGCCTGGCATGATCTAATCTGCACATTACTAACACTTCTGCAAGTAATGCCACAATCTCCACCCAGTCTGCACGTAACGAACAATTCCCAAACAAGAAATCATGAACTACTGAACATAAAGTGGGGTAAGTAGCAAATGCTAGTTCAAACACAGTGATATCCTTAAGATATTTTTATTTTAGCATTTTTAAAATTGAGGCATAATTTACATAACAATTTAAAGGGTACACTTCAGTGGATTTTAGTATATTCGGTATGTTTTGCTCTTGGAAGAAGTACAGCCAGAATGCTCCTTGGAAGCGAGGTTGGCGAGACTTCGTCTCACATGCTTTGGACATGTTATCAGGAGGGACCAGTCTCTGGAGAAGGACATCTTACTTGGTAAAGTAGAGGGTCAGCGAAAAAGAGGAAGACCCTTAAGGAGATGGACTGACACAGTGGCTGCGATGATGGGTTCGAGCATAACAATGATTGTGAGGATGGCGCAGGACCGGGCAGTGTTTTGTTCTGTTGTACATAAGGTTGCTATGAGTTGGAACCGACCTGACGGCACCTAACAACAACAACAACATGTTGTGCAACTATCACCACTATCTAACCCCAGAACATGTCTATCACCCCAAAAAGAAACTCTATACCCATTAGCAGTCACTGCCCATTCCCCTCTTACCCCAGCCCCTGGAAACTGCTAATATATTTTCTGTCTCTACGGACTTGACTGTTCTGGACATTTCATATAAATGGAATCATACAATATGTTTCTGGCTTCTTTCACTTAGCGTAATGTTTTCAAGGTTCATCCACGTTGTTTGTTGTTGTTTGGTGCCATCGAGTCTATTCCAACTCAGGGCGACCCTATGTGTGCAGAGTAGAACTGCTCCATAGGGTTTTCAAGGCTGTGACCTTTCAAAAGCAGATTGTCTTACAAGACGCCACTGGGTGGTTTTGAACTGCCAACCTTTCAGCTAGTAGTCAAGCACTTAACCATTTGCGCAACCCAGGGACTCTTTCTCCATGTTGTAGCATGTATCAGAACTTTTTTTTCTCTATATGGCTGAATAATATTCCATTGTATGGATATACCACATTTGATTTATCCATTCATCTGTTGATGGACACATAGGTTGTTTCCACCTTTTGGCTGTTGTAAATAATGTTGCTATGAACATTGGTGTACAAGTATCTGTTTGAGTCCCTGCTTTCAGTTCTTTGGGTATATACCTAGGATTGGAATTGCTGGGTCATATGGTAGTTCTATGTTTAACTTTTTGAAGAGCCTGTAAACTGTTTTCTACAGTGGCTGCACTATTTTATGTTCCCACCAGCAATGGACGAGGGCTCCAATTTCCCCATATCCTCACTAACAATTGTTAGTTTCTGATTTTCGGATAGTAGTCCTAGTGGTGCAACGGTTAAGCATTCGGCTGCTAAACAGGCATACTGATTTTGAGTGCACATTAGACAACCAAGAAGAGAGGTTGAGTAGGAAGTTAGATATTTGGGCTGGGAGTCCAGGAAGGAGGACTGGATTGGGGAGCCATCTGCAGGTAGAGGGTTACTGAATCTGTGGGAGTGGATGTAGTATAAGACGAGAAGGAGGCCTAGGGAAGATCCTCCAAGGAAACCAGAATGTAAGAGATGGACCAAGGAAGAGGAAGTCCAGGAAGAGACTCAGGCAATGCTCAGAACAGTAAGAGGAACACCAGTTTAATACAGTGTCAGGAAAGCCAAAGAAGAAGATGGATTCTAGAAAGAGAGCAGGATCAGCTCTGGATGTTGGGAGGCCACATAACATGGTAGTTGAGTATATGGTCTCCTCCTGGGTTTGAATTCTGGGTCTACTATATATTCACTCTGTGACCCTCAGCAATTTACTTCACCTTTCCATGCCTCAGCTATCTCATTTCTAAAACAGGGATAGCCACAGTACTTACTTCAAGGGTTTTTGTGATAATAAAATGATTTAATCCATGTAAAGGGCTCCTTAGAAGCGAGGATGGCGAGACTTCGTCTCACGTACTTTGGACACATTATCATGAGGGACCAACCCCTGGAGAAGGACATCATGCTTGGTCAGTGAGGAAGAGGAAGACCCTCAACGAGATGGATTGACACAGTGGCTGCAACAATGGGCTCAAACATAGCAACGATTGTGAAGATGGCTCAGGACTGGGCAGCGTTTTGTTCTGTTGTACATAAGGTGGCTGTGAGTGGAAACCAACTCGACAGCACTTAACAACAACAAAGGGCTTTGAACAGCGACTAACACAGTAAATGCTCCATAAGTGGTTGTATTTATTAGTACTAGTATCAGGATTAACATTATTATTATGAGATGTGTTGAATAAGGTCTAGTGTTTTAAACTTCTACTCACTCATAACCAATTAAATCAATCTCAGTTTGAACTAAGTTTCTGCTTCAGTCCAGGTTCTCTGAGAAGCAGAAACTATAATGAGATTAAACATGTAGGATTTTACTAGAGGAACTGGGGAAAGCTGGAAGAACCATGCCACCACCATGCACGTCTGACCCCAAGTGAAGGAGACAGGGAAGAAAGGTTGGTGGAACATTCAGCAGGCTGACGTGGGGATCCTGAAGCCAAAGTCGACCTTCAGGGGTGAGCCATGTTTCCCACAAAAGTCGGCCTTAGTGTTCCTGCCATGCTCAGTCATTGGCAGCAGCAGCCCGTGGGAGGCATGGCCATCACTCAAGTGAGGTGATGGACTTTGGAGCACTGGGCTTTCGGTCAGTTACACTCCCTGAAGTTGGAGGG